CCTCCGCAGTGCGGTAACTCAGTGTTCTAGAGGGCCCCAAGCCACTGCGAGTCTCGAAAAGGCCAACCGTGCGCAACGTCCTCGGTGCTCACCCGGCCTCAAAACGGCTCCTGGATGCCTCTCGGGGACCAAGAGACCCGCACGAAGCCTTCGAGAGGCGGTCCGCAAGGCCCCTCAGGAGACGGCATGCCTCACATCGGCAATCATTCGATCCCGCAAGGCATTCAGACACCCTCTTCGCGTGGCAAGGCTGGGGGGGGGGACGTCGTGTGACGTAGGCCTCCCCTCACAAGGCGGGCGACCCCCTCCAGTTGTCTGGATTCCTCGGGGCGGCGTGGGATGGACCCTGCCTTGACCTGTCAGGTCGCCACGACGACAAGGCAAGGCAAGACGAGGCAAGACGAGGCAAGACGAGACAGGACGAGACAGGACGAGACGAGGCAAGGCCAGACACGACAGCCTCCAGGATGGCCGTAAGATGCCCCAAGCGGGCCCTAGAGGGTCCAAACCTTGAGGAAACTAATCGATCTGCGCCTTGTCGCCTATTTGCTCCCGATGGGCTCTTGATGCTTCAAGATGGCCCAAGAGAGGCTCCAGACGGGCCTCGTGAAAACCGTCCCAGATCTCGAAAAGGCCAACATGACGAACCGTGGACGGGCGGCTACGAGGACCAACCGTGGATGGGCGGCAAGATGGCCCCGGGAGGAGGCCCCCGACAGGCCCCCAAGCGGGCCCCCCCCCCCCAAGGGGCTCCCAGGAGGTCTCGCTAGGCGGGCGTGTGTGTGTGTGTGTGTGTGTGTGTGTGTGTGTGTGTGTATGTGTGTGTGTGTTAGTGTGTGTGTGTGTGTGTGTGTGTGTTAGTGTGTGTGTGCGTGTGTTAGTGTGTGTGTGTGTGTGTGCGTGTGTGTGTGGAAGTCTGCCGGCGTGGGTCCATGGCGAGGGGCAAGCCCGACCCCGAAGGGAAAGAATGGGGTCGGCAGAGGACGCGCCCTGACCACCCAGGGTCCAGGGGGCTGGTGGGGTTTACCCGAGCCTGTAGGATCGCTGGAGTGATCTCCGCCTCAGTTGCGGCTCAGGCCGTTCGGGTCGATCCTAATCTTACACGGCAGTTTTTGTTCGGCCGAGCTTCGCCGAGAGTTCACACTCAGATCGCCGAAAACTTGTCACGGAGGCACCATGGGAGCTATCAGCCGGACGGGATGGGCGTCCGCCCCAGCAGCACTCGTTTGCACAGTCGTGGCATTGCTCGGAGTGTCAGATGCTCGGAATCCCACCTCTGACGTGCCCATCTACACCACCTCTGATGTCGACGTAGGGACGGAACGCCATTGGACGCTTGTGCTGGAGGACGATGCTACAGATGAAGAGCTGGGTGGCATTCGCCAGGAGTTTAACAACGGGCAGCACAGCCATCCGGGCAGAGGCCAGATGCCATTTGTGGTGGGAAGCATGACCAGAAACTCCCTCAACGCGCTGCTGGCGAGGCACAAGGGGCGAGTGAAGTTTGTTCAAGAGGACCAGTTTTCGAAAAGGGTCCCAGACATGGAGACCGTCAATTCAGAAGACGCGTACTCGGAGGGGCGAGCCTCCCGGACTTATCCATGGGGCATCCAGTACGTCGGCGCGAACGTGGTTCGGGGGCGGGGCGCGGGAGTACATGTGTACGTGTTAGACACGGGCATTCGCATTACCCATAACGAGTTCGGCGGCCGCGCTTTCGCCGGAGTGGACGTCGCCTCCTCGGGAGAGTATCCTGGCACTCTCACAGAGTGCGCGCCCCTCAGCACAACGTGCTCTGCAGATGTCCATGGGCACGGCAGCCACTGTGCGGGCACGGTGGGGGCTTCGACATATGGCGTCGCGAATGGCGCGACCCTGTGGGCAATGAAGGTCCTGAATGATGCAGGCTCTGGCTGGACCACATGGTCCATCTTAGCCGAGCAATGGATTCTGTCTTCCGGGAACAGGCCAGCGGTTGTCAGCATCAGCATCCAGGCCAACTACAATGACCTGGCGGAGCAGACGTCGATCGACAATTTGGTAGCCGATGGCGTGACCGTGGTGGTGGCTGCAGGAAACTCTAACCAAGACGCCTGCAGCTGGAATCCAGCTTGGATTCCGTCGGCGATCACCGTTGCAGCCTTTGGCGGGACGTCGGGGACCTCATGGGACAGGTCTTCGTACAGCAATTGGGGCTCCTGCATCGATGTGTATGCCCCTGGCACGAGAATCCTCTCGACGGGCCCGTCCAGCGACACCCACACCTACTACAACACAGGCACGTCCATGGCTTGCCCGCACGTCTCTGGGCTCGCTGCCAGAATGTACGAGGCGTACCCAGCGGCGGGGTCCATGACCGCTGCGCAACGGTGGGACCTCCTGAAGGCCACGAACTGCACTGGTTGTGTCACGAATGACGCGACCCCCATACCCACTGACAACCTGGTGATCTTGGCCCTTCCAGCGAATCCGTGCTCAGTCTTTGACGGGTCAGGGGCGAGCGCGACCTACCCGTGCGATTGCGGCAGCGCTTTGTGCACAAACGGCGAGATATGCACCAGCAGTATCGACAGCTGTGGTTCAGCATCCCCGACGCCAGCTCCCGCACCGACGGCTGCGCCGACAATCGCGCCCCCAACAGATGCACCGACGCACTCGCCGACTGCAGCACCCACAGCTGCACCAACTGCACCGACGGATGCGCCGACTGCTTCTCCGACAGTTGCACCGACAGCAGCGCCGACGGTTGCGCCCACTGCTGCGCCGACCGCATCCCCAACAGAAGCACCGACGGATTTTCCAACCGCAGCTCCCACAGCTGCACCGACGGGGGCGCCGACCGCTCCCCCGCCCGCGCCGACGGTTGCACCGACTCCTGCGCCGACCGCATCTCCAACAGCAGCGCCGACTGACTCTCCAACCGCAACTCCCACAGCCGCACCGACAGTTGCACCGACTCCTGCGCCGACCGCATCTCCAACGGCACCGCCCACTGCTTCTCCAACATCAGTGCCCACATTTGCGCCAACGGAGGCACCGACCGCCCCCCCGCCAGCACCGACAGTTGCACCCACTGTTGCGCCGACCATATCCCCAACAGCTGCACCGACCGCTTTCCCGACAGGTGCACCGACAGCAGCGCCGACGGCAGCGCCGACTTTCGCGCCGACACCTGCGCCGGCTCCTCCGCCGACCGCTGCGCCAACGCCCCAGCACATGTGGGCGACCATCTCGGGCCCGTGCACTGTGGACGGCACGTGTGTGCAGAGCCCGAACCATCCGAGCAACTACGGTGGAAACCAGATGTGCACGATCGGAATCGACGAGGCGAACGCAGCTCCGATTGTCGTGGAAGCCTTCAACACGGAGTCCAACAGAGACTACCTCATTGTCAACGGAGCATACTACTCTGGAACCTCGGGTCCCTCTGGGGTGACGCCTTCATCCAGTATCGTGTGGTCGTCCGACCGACGGAAGTCCAGCAGTGGGTGGAGATTGTGCATGCCAGTGTCAACTTCTCCACCTCCGCCGACTGCAACGCCCACGCCTGCGCCGACAGGTTCATCGACACCTGCGCCGCCAGTGGCGCCGACTCCTGCGCCGGCTCCTCCGCCGACCGCTGCACCGACGCCCGCTTCCCAGCACATGTGGGCGACCGTCTCGGGCCCGTGCACTCTGGACGGCACGTGTGTGCAGAGCCCGAACCATCCGAGCAACTACGGTGGAAACCAGATGTGCACGATCGGAATCGACGAGGCGAACGCAGCTCCGATTGTCATGGAAGCCTTCAACACGGAGTCCAACAGAGACTACCTCATTGTCAACGGAGCATACTACTCTGGAACCTCGGGTCCCTCTGGGGTGACGCCTTCATCCAGTATCGTATGGTCGTCCGACCGACGGAAGTCCAGCAGTGGGTGGAGATTGTGCATGCCAGATCGCCGTTTGGAGGCCGCGGAGCCAAACAAGGCGGCCTTTGCGTTGACGGCACCGACCATCCTCGTCTGACTGAACGGCATCCAGGGGAGGGGCGGACCCATGACAGGCGTCCGTGAGTGAGGCGCGCTGGCGAGCAATGCTGCGTTTTTCATCTTCGCCTCGCAGAGCGACTGGCTCCTCCTCTGCCGTGTCGGCGCGGCGAGGAGTCGAGGGGTGGTTTCGCAGCCTGGGTCTCGCGAGAGCACATGTCTCGTTCCGGGGGCGGTCGTGGCGGTGGCCCAGGACCTCTTGTGGCGATTCGTGGGTGTTGTCTCAGAGGTGGCGCTGGAGGTCGCAAGCGACAGCGCGAGAGCCCCTGCTGTTTCTTACAGGACTGCGTGCCCGAGGTCTCCTCCCCCTCCTGACCCCGCCTCCTGTGTGCGATCGCACGTGCTCCGCCCGCCGGCGTGACAGCGCGCGCATGCGTTTTTCCAAGACTGCAAACCACAGGCCTCCCCCTCCTGACACCCCCTCCCCTGCGCGACCGCGCGTGCTCCGCCCGCCAGCGTGACAGCCCGTGCATGTTGTTTCTAGAACCCTCGCCACGAATCGCCCACGTGGCGTTTGATCAGTCTTGTCTCAGGCTGCCCTCCTTGTCCTGCTCTAGCAAACAGCTTCCTTCTCGGCTCTTGTCTGCCTCCCACGCGTCTGCGGTGCTCGTGCACTTTTTCCCAGCTAGTGTTCTGTCGCCGCTGGCGATGTTCATTTATCTTAGGGGCTCTCGAGGTGGTCGCGAGGAATATGTCGGAAGCGGTAATTCTGGTTTGTCAGTTGCTTGCGACAGCTTCCTTCGATTCACGCCGCAATCGCACGCTCAAGAATTTTTACAGAACGCCCCATGCGGGCGTTGCCTTTTTGAGTTGCAAAGCGCCGGTGAACTACTCATCGGCAGAAGAAGCAACGCTGGGGAAGGGGTTAGAGTGGGGTCGCCCGAGCAATTTTCGATGCTGCGCGTGCGCATTCCCGCCAGCCCATTCACAAGCGACTCCCAGGCAAATTGTTTGGAGCAAGGAAGCGTAGGAGGAGACATGGAGGGGCAGTTCCAGCTGCCAGCCCCGTGCCGATCATAACAGGCTTGTTCGAAGGGCCGTTCTGGAAAAGCACCCCAACAATAGTGACTTTTTTTTCATTGTTTTGCCGATCGGCGCGGGCCCTCGCCACCCCCACCCCCGCCGTGGAGTGGATCTTGGCTGTTTTTTGACACCTGTTTCAGGCAGATGGAGCCTTCTCCATAGGACGCACTGCCGCGAACAGTCGCATTAAGCAGAGGTCAGGAGCCAGAACTCCCCCCTCTCCCCCCCCCTCCGGCCCAGTGTCGAAACGCCGAATGAAAAAACGCTCACATATTTGTACCACAGTTTTTTTTCGGATTCTCCCCCACAGAAGACCCGGCGCCTCCCCCCCCCTGCAGACCTTCCTCGAGTTTTTGTCCGATCCCCCCCTCCCCATTACGGGGGGTTCTCCACGGAGGGTCGGCACCCTCCCACGCCAGTCTCTGGGGAAGTCATCTTGAGCTGCCCTGGGCTATCTTGTGCCATTTTGGAGGCCATTTTGAGCCATGGGGCGGTTTCTGGACCATCTCTTCGATTCCTGCAGGTTCTTCGGACCCAGTGTGCTTTCCATGGGCCGCGCCTCGCCGAAGGCACTCCGGGATCGCTCGAACCGTCCCTGGGGACGTGGCCCTGGGCTTCAGCCCAGGTGTCCTCAGCCTCCACTGGTTACCTGGCTCTGCTGGGGGACCCCGGCGCTCTTTGGGAGGGTCCTGGGGCTCGGGGTGGCGCTCCCGCAACCGCCTGGGAGGCTTCTGGTCAGATGGCTGAAATGGCTTCCATAACGTCGAGGAGGCTCCTCACAAGCTCCGTGAGGCCCTCAGGTGTGCGCAACAGGCCCCCGAGAGGAACATTTAGTTGATTCTCAATGCTCTCAGGCTGTTTCTGATGTTGTGCCTTTGCAGTATCGAGCGCGCCGACCACGGCTCCAGACCCCCAAAAAGGTTGAACAGAGTCCAGAGAGGGACCAAAGACGGCACAGTAATACTCCAAAACGGTTTATAAGCGGGACCCCAAGAAGCCCAGGAGTGCCCTCGTGTTCAAGACAGCCCAACAGGGCCCGCATATTGCCCAATGTGAGCCAGCCCACGGCGTTTCCAAAACAGCCCCAAGAGACTCCTAAGGCGACCCAGAGGGATCCAAGTTGGCCCACGAGCCAAAAGAGCGCCGCGATTGGCCAAGAGGCTTCCGAGACGGGCCGAAGAGATCCCCCACGCAGTCCAGGAGCCAGAGCGGCCCCAAGAGATCCCCACGAATGCACGAAGGCCGCGGCATGCGTCCAGGAGGCCCCCCCAACCGGTATCCATACACCTCATGTATTCCGGAGCAAGTCGCTCCTGATCCTCTAGGAGGGGTGTCTGAGCTCGGACCCGACCCCGCTGTTGATCGGATCGGGGTCGACCTCATCCGAGGCCTTGCGTTTTTCGGATTCTCCTCCCGCGCTTAGGCCGAAGGGCTTGGGCAGCGGATCCTTGACAGGAGACGCCGCGTGGGGGCCGATCCCTCGGATGACGGGTTTTCCCGACCCTCCTATGGTTGGGTGTTCGTTTTTTTTTCTTGTTTTCTTTTTTTTCTTTTTCTTTTTTTTGTTTTTTTATTGTTTCGTTTTGAATAGAGCAGTGTGGTCGCCCCGTCCCCCCTCCTCCTTCCTCCTCCTCCTCCCTCTCCTCCTCCCTCCTCCTCCTCCTCCTCCTCCTCCTCCATCCTCCTCTTCCTCCTCCTCCTCCTCCTCCTCCTCCTCCTCCCTTCATCCCTCCTCCTCACTCTCAAGTTCCGTGGTCCCACCTCCTCTTCTCTCGGTGCCGTTGCGATGCTGCACAACTGCGCCACTTATCGTAGGCTCATGGGCGGCCAGCGGGGGGGGTTTACGTCCCACGCGGACCACTTCGGTGACCTTCGCCGCCCCGCGGGGGCTGCGATCTGCGCAACTGTCGCCACTTTCGTGGGCTCCTGGGAGGCCCAGCGGAGGTGGGTCCCACGCGGACCACATCGGGACCTCTCCGTGCCTTGGTAGCTGCGATCTGCGCAATTGTCGCCATTTGCTTGGGTTCCTGGGAGGCCCAACCGAGGCAGGTCCCACGCGGACCCCTCGGGACCTCGCGCCCCCTGGGGGGCTTGCGGATCCTGCGCAACTGTCGGCCTTCGGTGGCCCTGGGAGGCCCAGCGGAGGTGGGTCCCACGCGGACCACCTCGGGACCTCGCCGCCCCTTTGGGGGCTTGCGACCTGCGCAAGTGTCGCCACTTTCGTGGGCTCCTGGGGGGCCCAGCGGAGGTGAATCCCACGCAGACCACCTCGGGACCTCGCCGCCCCCCTGGGGGGCTTGCGATCTGCGCAACTGTCGCCACTTGCGTGGGCTCCTGGGAGGCCCAGCGGAGGTGGGTCCCACGCGGATCACCTCGGACCTCGCCGCTCCCTGGGGGGCTTGCGATCTGCGCAGCTGTCGCCACTTGCGTGGGCTCCTGGGAGGCCCAGCGGAGGCACGACCCACGCGGACTACCTCGACTACCCTGGGGACTCGCCACTTTGCACCTCTGCGGCCGATCTGCGCAAGCTGTCGCACTTCGTGGGCTCCTGGAGGCCCACAGCGGAGGCACGTCCCCACGCGGACCACCGGGACATCGCCGCCCCTGGGGGCTTCGATTCTGCGCAAACTGTCGCCACTTTCGTGGGCTCTGGGGGCCCAGCGGAGGCAACGTCCCACGCGGTAGCACCTCGGGACCTCGCCGCCCTCTGGGGGGCTTCGATCTGCGCAGCTGTCGCCACTTTCGTGGGCTCCTGGGAGGCCCAGCGGAGGTACGTCCCACGCGGACCACCTCGGGACCTCGCCCCCCCTGGGGGCTTGCGATCTGCGCAACTGTCGCCACTTTCGTTGGCTCCTGGGAGGCCCAGCCAAGGCACGTCCGAGGCCCAGCGGAGGTGGTCCCACGCGGACCACCTAGGGACCTCGCCGCCCCTGGGGGGCTTGCGATTTTCGCACTTGTCGCCACTTTCGTGGGCTCCTGGGAGGCCCATCGGAGGTGGGTCCCACGCGGATCACCTCGGGACCTCGCTGCCCCCTGGGGGGCTTGCGGGCTTGCGATCTGCGCAATTGTCGCCACTTTCGTGGGCTCCTGGGAGGCTCAGCGGAGGTACGTCCCACGTGGATCATTCGGAGGTGCGTCATACGCGTTTCTTTCAACGCCCCTGTGTTTCCATGTTGTATGTTTGCCGTTCCTCTTTTTGCTGCGCTCTTCTGAAATCACTGTTGGGTGCTCTTCTTGCGCACTACGGGTCCTTCAGAATGCCAGTCAGCATTGAGTGGTCCTGAGTAATAAAATAAAAGAAAATAAATACAATAAGTAAAAATAATAAAAATAATAAAAAACAAACAAAAAATAAGAAATATAAAAATAATCGCCACATGTATAGAAAGGGTTGGGTACGTCACAGGGTAATTGATTTGTTTTATTTTGGATGCATGTTTAATGTGGTGGCACCTTCAGCTGGCGCGGGTCTCATATGTCCCCTGCCTCTCCCATTGATTCTCAGCAGCTGAGATGCTTCAGTGCGTCAGTCGGTTTGCCACTCGCGCCTTGGCGTGTTGGGCTGGACAGGCTGAGTTGCCGATTGTTTAGCAGCGGGGATGCTTCATCGGGCCGTTCGGAGTGCTACTCGCGCACGGGCGCGTAAGCTTTCTGGATCGTCTTGCAGGTGTTGCGCGGAAGAAAGGAGATTTCTTCCTCCACTCCCCGCATCATCGCCTTTATTCCGGCATGTGTCTTCTCCAAGTCCCACTCCCTCTTTCTCCTCCGTCTGCCTCCTCGCCTCTTCCTTTCCACGAGGCCAAAAGGCTGCGCCAATATGACCTTCGCACAATCGGATCTAATCCACACTCTTTGGCATTAATTGCTTGTTTTACGGTCTCTGGGATCTTCAACTTTTCGGCTGATGTAGCTATTCGGCGTGCCTGGGAGAGGAGAGACCGTAGAGGGTCCATTACC